GGAAACGTGTTGTTGCCAAGGACTATATCCATTCCTACCCTGCTACCTACACTCCTCCACAGCTCTCCTGTTCTGTGAAGCTGGGGATGGACCATGCCATGGGAGATGGAGGCTGCTTGGGGTCCCTCTGCACTGCACAAGGGCCCGAGCCTTTGCATAAACACAGCAGGGAGCCTTTCACCCTCTCTCGGTTAACTATTGTGTCTGGGACCGCAGGATCACAGGCTGAAGAGAGGAAACTAACTCTGAGGTAGCGGAGGGAAGGGGTTCTTTGGAGAAGCTAGACATGCTTCATGCCTAAGAGGAGAAGAGGAGGTGGCCAATTCCCCAGGATTTCAGAAGAAACAAATCCTCTCCCCACCACTAACAAAATGCCACTCAGATTAACTGGCTTTCAACCCTGAAGACTGTGGTGTGTTTCTGTTGTTACAAAGAAAATATTTGTAAAACAAATATCTGATAATGGATTAATATCCAGAATATAAAAGAATCCCTACAACTCAACAACAAAAAACAAACAAACCAATCAAAAAATGGGGAAAAGACTCAAAATTAAGATATACAAATGGCCAATAAGCACATGAAAATTACTAATCATTAGGAAAACATGGAGCAGAACAACAATGAGATACCACCTGACACCCACCAGGATGACTACTACTTCTTTTAAAACCCAGAAAATAACAAGTGTTGGCGAGGGCGTAGAGAATTGGAAGCCGAATGCACTGTTGGTGGGAAAGTAAAATAGTGCAGCTGCTATGGAAAACTGCAAGTTTGTTCCTCAAATAAATAAACACAGAATTACCACATGATCCAGTAATTCTGCTCCTGGTATATATGCAAAAGAATTGAATGCAGGGATTCAAACAGATGCTCATACATTCATGTTCATAGCAGCATTATTCACAAGAGCCAAAAGGTGGAAGCAACCCAAGTGTCCCTCAGCAGAGGAATGGATGAAGAAAATGTTTTGTGGGGACGTGTTGTTGCCAAGGGCTAAATCCATTCCTACCCTGCTGCCCACACTCCTTCACAGCTCTCCTGTTCTGTGAAGCTGGGGATGCACCATGCCCCGGGAGATGGAGGCTTCTTGGGGTCCCTCTGCACTGCACAAGGGCCTGAGCCATTGCATAAACATACAGGGAGCCTTTCACCCTCCAAAATAAATCCAGCTCTCTCTGAATGTGAGCCACTGGGGACCCAGCAAGGAGCCCAGCACACACGATAACAGCAGCCATAATCACTGATCAGAGCAAATCATGGCAAAATACTAGTTAACACTCACTGGGCATTTCCCACATCCAGGAACTATTCTAAGTGCTTACTTAGATTAGTTGCATTATTTGCATTGATCTTTTAATTCTCACACTAATCCAATGATGTATGTACTATTATAATGCCCATTGTACAGATGAGGAAACTGAGCCCCACAGGGAGACTTAGTAATTCAGTGTATCAGATGACTGAGTGACTCATGATGGGATGTGACAGCATCCACTTCCTATTCCCACCTGTAATGTCTCTTGTCCCGGTAATGTCCTCCTCACCCTTCCTGATCCAGCTCAGGCATCATCTGCTCCAAGTCCATCCCTGATCTGCCTGCCTTCACGCCATCAATGCAGAGTTCATTCTTCTCTCCTCCACACTACCCAAATCCTTACCCATCACAGCATTTGCCCTGCTATGTTATGATTCATTTGTTTATTGTCTGTCTTTTCTTTGGGACCAGGAGACCATTTAGAAAAGAAATCACATTTCTTTTCACAACCCTAGGGCCTGGCGCCTACTAAGTGTTCAATTAATACTTATTGAGGGGATAAATGAATACAAAATTAAGTTTGGCCTTTCCCTTATCCAAGGCGGAAATTCTCTTTATCACACTCAGCCATCTTAAATCATTTCTGGAAGAAGGCAGGGTATAAATTCATCAACCAAATGCAGTCTAACTTCCTTGACAAAAGGTGAATCAAGCTCTTATAGGAAAACAACACCATATCTGACATGACAAGTTTTCAACCAAGGATCCACCCTTGGCTAATACCTATTATTCACCACGTACTATCCTATGTGACCTGGCCTAACAGGACCTGCCTCAAAGCACCGCATCATATTTTCGAAGTATTTTGCATCCACTGACTCATTTGATATTCCCAGAAACCTTGTAAGGTAGACATTACAAGTGTAATTATCCCTACTTGACAGATGGGGAAACTGAGGCATAGGGCGTTACTCCAGGTCCTTTCCCAGGTCCAGTGAGGGAGTCCTGAGCGGTGACCTCCTCCCCACACCGTGTACAGGCTGACCGGCAAGATCATGAAATGTCGCCCCCCTCCCCAGAAACTGTGCCCCTGGACAGACAGCCTTGGGTGCTTTGGGGACAGCAGGAGCCAGGTTGAACTGACCTTGCAGCAAAAGGTATCAGGACTTGGGTAAGCATATGGGGGGAAAGGCAGAGGCTGTAAGCAGCCTGGCGGACATGGGGCAACCTAGAGGGAGCAGAACCTGGTCATGTTTACAGGAAAGGGCTCAGTCCCGGGGTGTGTCCCAACAGACCTGACAGGCCCAATCCTGAGGCCAAGGAAATGAGGACAGAGCAGGCAGAGCTGGTGAAGAAACCCCCAGAAGGGGGCAGGAGAGGGGCAGGGAGGGCTCAGGCTGGGCGCCCCTGCTTCGTACTCAATGCCTGTGGAGCCCAGCACCTCTCGGGTGAGACAGACATTTCTCCTCTGGGCCTGGAAGAAGAGTGGCCTAAGTAACTCAGGCAATGGTCTTCATGCCTCTAGATAGTCAGGGGCCTGTGGGAAGGAGCACGGATCTAGGTCATCAATTCCAGTCCCCCAGGCTCCAATTCTGCATTCCTTCCCCTAGCACCTGCTGAGCGTTTAATGGGGACGCTGAGATGCTGTCTCGGTGGAGAGTACGAAACAAGCACAGTGCAGCAGAAGGTGCCCCTCCACAGGAGAGAATGAAAAGGGGAATGGGGTGCAGACATCTCCCAAGGAGGGTCCTGAAAGGCAAACTAAGCTGATGGCAAGTGTGGGAGGGACAGCAGGCCAGGTCTGGAGAAACGGGGGCAAATTCTGCCCCAGAGCCTGACTGATGAGAAAAAAGGTCTCCAGCTCAGCTCCAGGGACAACCCACCACATTTGGCGCAAAGGACCAGATGGAGAGGGAACCAGACCAAGTTCCTTAAGTGACCCTGCAGTCCTGTGCACAGGTGGTGTATCACCTTCCATCACTCTTTCAAAATCCGTGATTTCTATCTCAGTAAGCTCAGGACACCGGTTCCCAGACCAACCCTCAGAAGAAAACAACCCATTAAAATAGGCTCTGGCAGTTCCTGAAGGCAGATGAGACCCTCCCTAAGAGATTCTGCATTAATTTCCTGGTGTCCCAGGAGAGAGGAAGAGGAAAAAGAAACAGAGCAAGCGCAGGGGCAGGTCTCAGGTGGGTGGTGTCAGGGACACGGGAGGACTTGGATCAGTGGGTCATGAATAGCCCTCGGTCAGGAGTAAGCCTCACATCCATCATCATGTTGTAGAAAAAAAACAGACCCAACCCTTCTCTCCTCCAGGAAGCCTTCCTGGGTTGACTGTCACCCAGGTTCTACTCATTGCTGTTCCCTTAACAGGTGTCTGTGGTTCTGCCAGGCTGGATTGTTGGCTCAGCTCCTGTCAGTGTCTGACTCAGCATGTGCAAACCCAGCACACAATTTTCCCTGCAGACTGGCTCCCACCCAGGCACCGAGGTCCCATGCCAATCGCCAGCACCTGAAACCTCCACTTCATTCTGGATCCTCCTCTCCCTCAGTCTGTGCCCAGGTCTGGGCTTTGATGTTCTGCCTTTTCTGATGCCTCCTCGCTTCCGTCCCCATGAAGCTGTTTACCTCCTCTTCACAGCCTCCAGCTAGGCTGTGCAGGTCTGCTCTGTCTTCCTCCACCCCAAACACCCACCACTAGTTTCCTAAAGCAGAGCTGGTCCCAGGGCCCTCGCCCCTTCCCCACACTTAACAACTCAGGATCCCTTACCAAAAGGAGACAGTCCAAATTCCAATGCTCAGTTTTCAGGGACTTCCAGACTCTGGTCCTAACCCACCTATTCAAGCTGACTTTCTACTCTTTTCTCCATGAACGCTAATTTCTGAGCAAACTTTCTGTTGCTCCTGGACATACTTTATGATTTTCTACTGTTGTTCCCTCTGCTAGAAATGCACCTTCCTCCCTATCCTGGTCTCGTCCCAGGCTCAGCCCCACCCTTGCTCACTGATTCTTGAGGCTCTCTTTCAGAGCAGGGATGCTGTCAGAGGGGCATGTTAGTTCACCCCTACCCTCACCCCCTGCTACCACCTGCGTGGTGGGTGAGTGAGTGACCATGGACGAGGCCTCGCTCTCTATCTCCCCAGGAGAGGAGACTCTTCCTTCTCAGGCTGAACACTGCAGGTGGGGACTGTCTCCCCATCAGATGGGGCTCCCTGGAATCAGAGGTGGTGTCTCCCCCATCAGATATAAACTCCCTAGAGGAATAAGCTGTGCCTCCCCCTCAGACAGGGGCTCCCTGGAGATAGGAGCATGTCTCCCCTCAGACAGGGGCTCCCTGGCTGGGGATATAAACTGTGTCTCCCCCTCAGACAGAGGCTTTCCCTGGGAGATAGGAGCATGTCTCCTCAGACAGAGGCTCCCTGGAGATAGGAGCATGTCTCCCCTCAGACAGGGGCTCCCTGGAGATAGGAGCGTGTCTCCCCTCAGACAGGGGCTCCCTGGGGATATAAGCTGTGTCTCCCCCTCAGACAGGGGCTCCCTGGAGATAGAAGCTGTTTCTTCCCCTCAGACAGGAGCTTCCTGGAGGCAAGGGCTATTTCATTCATCTAAAATGGATCTTTCCCAGGTTGGGACTGAAACTTCTTTTTTTGGATTGTAGGTGAAGCCCAGAACCACATACTGACAAATCCTTGGAAATATGTATGAAATTGCTTTATTCTCTCTCACACTGCCCTCCTTTCCACAGACGTATACAGACATGTGCACACGCAGAGACACACACAGCTGGGTTCTCCATTCAGTTCCTGATAGCCAGGCCACACCTCCTCCTGGGTCAGGCTCCGGTGGGCAGGGGGCTGCCTGAGCTCCCTCTAGTACAGGCTGTGTTGAGCACAGTGGTGAGCGCACAGCTGCCGGTGGTACCGCAGGTGGTAGTCCTTCACCAGCTTTCCCAAGATGTAGAGGAACTCATCGAAGCAGATCTGGTTGTCCTTATTCTTGTCTGCAGCCTGGAACAGTTCTGTGATATAGTACGGCTCCTTCCGGCCCTGAGAAGCGGGCAGAGTGTCAACCACCCACCCAGGCCTGCAGCCCACCTGCCAGGCTCCCCACAGCCCACTGGGAGGGGATGGGCTAACTGTGGCCTGGCCTGGCCTGCAAGGGCTTACAGGAAATGACTCCTCACTCCAATAGTCAGTGACCAGGACTCCGAATGCTGCAAAATCAGGCTCAAGAGACAGGGGCATGGTGGATGCCCCCATAACCAAGCCTGGAGCCAGCTGCATGTGTGCAGACAAAGGAGGTAAACTGGGCACCACTCATGGTTAACTGTCTTCAGTGCCCAGGGAGCCCTGGCATCCCAGACGATTTTGCATCCACTGGCAGCAGCTGTTTATACCTCTCTTCACAGCTGGGCTGGAGGCTCCTCTGGAGGGACACCCCAGCCAGGGCTTCCTCAAGGCAGGGCGGTGCCTTCCTCCTCCACACTGGGAGCTCCCCAGGAGCAGAGTCGACCTGGCCCTCGAGTCTGCATCCCCAGCGCTGCTGCAAGGCTAGTGCCCAGGGGGTCAGAGGTTTGCATGCCTGTGCATTTGCCTGCTTCGGGAGCAATTCCCAGGCAGAGGCACAGCGTGCGAACCTCTGACCCCCGGGCGCTGGGCCCACATAGAGCGCAGAACGAGGGAAAGGACAAAGCCAGGAGCCCTGGAGCTGTCCAGGTTGTTCCGAGGCAGGTGGCCCAGATATGGCCCTGACGGCTGAGAAATGGGGATCGTAGAGGAGAGGAAGAGGCATTTGAGGTGGAAGGAACAGCATGAAGAAAGTCACGGGCCAGAGCACAGCACAGGGACAGAGCGGGAAGACACCAGGTGGACATCGGGAGCACTGGGCAGGGCAGATGGGGCAGCTTTCAGCAAGATTTGGCTGGTGGGTATGAGAAGCCAGTGTGAAGCCCTAGAAACCATTTGGGGGAAGCAGCTGTGGGCAGGTTTGCAGCCTCTGTCTCCTCAGGGCCCAACCCCACCACCTGTTCCTGTGATCTTAACTGTTCCACAAAGCTGGTCACCCAGAGAGCAGCTGGAGGCTTCCCGCCTGGGACAGCCTCTCCCAGCTTCCCTCACCTCAGCCCACCTTCCCCAGGACTGCCCTGTGTCCAGGGTATGTCCCCAAGGGCCCCGTACCCCGGTGGGGCTTTGAGCCCCATGAGTGCAGGGTCCGGGCTGTCCTGGTACAGTTTGCCCTAGAAAGGACAAGGTTTCCTGGAAACAGGACCGCCCACAATCACTTCCCCCTCGCTCCATCCCTCTCTACAACCCTCAGAGGAACACTGCAGTAAGCAGAGGCAAGGCTGAGGGGACAGGAAGTGACCAAAGAAGAGCGTTTTCCTGGATGGAGTGGCCTTGAGTCAGGATGGACCAGAAGTCCTCTGGAGATGACAGTCCAGACACCCCGGGGCATGGCTAGACAGGAGCACCCCACAGACACCCTTGCAGGCCTTGCAGGTCCCAAGGAACCCAGTAATCACGGGTCTGGGTCTGATGACAAAGAAGATGGGCAGGGCCTGAGGGCTGTCTAAGTCTGGATTTGGGAGCTGGGCCTGTCCAGGTCTGAGAGATTCTGGGGACAGGAGGTGGAAGGGGAAGTAATGTTTCCTAACCCCATCCCATCCTACTCCTACTCTGGTTAGGGGGGCCACCGCAGCCCCTGCTATCCCTCCCCCATGCATGGGAGCAGGTGGGCCAGGCTTGTGCAGCCCGGGAGAAGGGGCTAAATTCAAAGGGCTTGGAAGGTGGCATGGGGTGAGGGGCAGAGGCACTGCCTCGATGGGCCTGTGGGCAGAGGGGAGGTGGAGGGCCTGTGCTCAGGAAGTAGATGGCCAGAAGCATAAACAGGTTTGGGGTTAGGACTGAGTTCCAGGAAATCAGCTAAGTTTGGGCTGGAGGGAGGCCAGGCAGGGAGTTCTGGGAGAGGGAAGGACAAGAAACACAGCTGTGCTGGGGCCACCCCACTGTGGCCACAGATCCCGCCGTCCCATGAATTAAAGATTCTCAGGGCCAGGTACAGTTGCTCACACCTGTAATCCCAGCACTTTGGGAGGCTAAGGCGGGTGGATTACTTGAGGCCAGGAGTTCAAGACCAGTCTTGCCAACAAGGTGAAACCCCATCTCTACTAAAAATACAAAAATTAGCCAGGCATGATAGTGGCCGCCTATAATCCCAGCTACTCAGGAGGCTGAGGCACGAGAATCACTTGAACCTGGGAAGCGGAGGTTGCAGTGAGCAGAGATTGCACCACTGCACTCCAGCCTGGGCGACAGAGTCAGGTTCCATCTCCAGAAAAAAAAAAAAAAGATTCTCATGAGAGACAGCGCCCTCTGTAATAACTTCAGCATTTGCTTTCAACACTCACTTGCCACCCCAGAATCCACCCTGTATTGGTGCCCGGGCCCCACTTCAACCCCCACCCTGATCCCAGACCCTGCGTACCAAGCTGTCCATGAAGCGGGGTACGTTGTCCACAAGCAGGGCCTGCAACTCCTGCAGGGACAGGGTCTCCACATCGCCTTGCCGGGCTGCATACTGGTGGAAGCAGTGGATGATTTGGAAAAGGGATTCCTCCACTGGGGTGTCTGTCATGACTGCTGGGCCCTGGCCCCGGGCAGGGGGCAGACGTGGAGGTGCAGGGGTGCAGCAGCTGGGGACAGTGGGTGGAGAATCTGGGAGGAGAGAGCAGCACCTTGTCCCAGCCAGTCCACAGCAGATGGTGCTTCCTCCAAGAGCCTTCTCCCTCTTGTACCTGCCCACATTCCCACACGCAATCTCAGGCCACCAGGACCCCTGCACTCATCCGACCCCGTGCAAACGTGACTCAAAGTCACTGCCCTGCAAGAAGCTTCCCTGAAAATTCTCAAGACAGGACTCTGTTTGCTGGGACTGAGGGCTTCCCGGACACAGGAGCTGCATCCTCCTCCCTCCAACCTACCCCAATTTAGCAGATGCCTCAAGTCAAGAATGGGGAGAAACTAAAGACTCTGAAGCAAGTCAGTGTTTGTATTGCTTTCCAATAAAAATATTTTTAAACCCTTGAAAAGGCAGAATCAGCACTACCATAAGCTGTCTTGTGCGACAAACAATATTAGAATAACCACACTACACGAAAAACTGGGCCCTGCTCCTGAGTGATTGTGTTCTTTCCCAGTTGAATGTACAGGCAGCAAGTGGATCCCACCTGTCTTCCTGCTGCCACCACACTGTGCCACCCTCTCCAAAGGGAGTCCCGGTGCCATCGGCACCATCCCTTCCGCCCTTACATCCCACGGCCGCCCGGGAACCTCTGTGCCGCTCCTCTCTGGTGCTCTGATGCCTGTGACCTTCCACTCCCCACTTCCTGTGGAGATGAGACCCCAGTTTTTGGGCGACAAGATCTCCCTGTCAGGTCAGCGGTGCTCCCTGGACTCTGCAGATAGGAATCAGGACAACTGCTGCTTCCACCGCTCGTGGAGCCAGCCCGGCACCAGGTGAACACTTTATACAAATTATCCCATATCCCACGTAACCCTCACGCGGGCCATAGGAAGCAGGCATCATTACTCCCATTTTCCTAAGGGGAAAATGAAACCCAGAAAGGATAAGCAATTTCCCCAAGATCACACAACTGATCTACCTGGAGCTTTGCTCAAACCCATGTCTTTGGGAACAAGCCCAAAGGCATGCTTTCAGTTCGGGTCCTACACCCCTCTTGGGCCACAATTGTACTGTTAGGATGTCCATCCACACTGTACGTGTTCTCTAAAACAAGTAAGCTGTACCCACCTCTGCTTTCTAGAACCTGCACAGACCCAACACAGACCCTCACCCCACAATTCTCTTGGAAGAGGCACTGACCTGTCACTATTGAGGTGAGGATCCAAAACCACAGATCCAGCCTGTAGTTGATTCCAGAGATTCCCCAGAGCTCAGGCAGGAGGCAGCTGTGTGAGCCGGGAACCCACCACCAAGCCCCACATCCCACCCATCCTCAGCGCCTCCAGTTATGGCAGCCAGTGTTGTGATGCTTCACAGGTCCTTCAGCAGCAGGACTGAGCCTTAATTGCATTCCTCAGGTGACATCACAACACTTAACTTGCTAAGATTAACTCAACCAGTTTCAGGAGCCCGCATCCCTCAGAGCAGGATCTGAAGCATCTAAGAATCACAAAAGGTCCCATTATCGTCTCCCTGCCTCAGAGCTTGTCCTCCCACCTCCAGGGCTTGGGTGGGGTCAGACACACACTTAACTACATCTCCCTGGGGTGTCCTCCCTCAATTAGCGAACCCCCAAACTCCACCGTCATGAAGCACATTCATTCCTTCATTCATTCAATAAATATTCTTGAGTACCTACAGTGTGCCAGGCCTTCTGCTAGGCAATATGCATCAGACACAGGGCCAGCTCACAGGGTGGGGACGTGTGAGGGGACAGTCACACACTGTCACTAGGCACGTGGAAGCCAACTGAGTGACACAGACAGGTGCTCCAGGCACCCAGAAAGGAACACCTTCCGCCTGGGGAGTTGAGGGGGACTTCCTTGGGGAGGTCATATTTCAGCTGCGACTGGAAGAGACATTTTGAGTTGCACGGAGGAAAGGAGGACCAGGCGCTCCAAACAGAGGACACGGCACAGGCAAAGGCCTGGGGGTGCAAAAGAGACAGCGTGGCGATTCCTCAAGGATCTAGAACTAGAAGTACCATATGACCCAGCCATCCCATTACTGCGTATATACCCAAAGGATTATAAATTATGCTGCTATAAAGACACATGCACACATATGTTTATTGCAGCACTATTCACAATAGCAAAGACTTGGAACCAACCCAAATGTCCATCTATGATAGACTGGATTAAGAAAATGTGACACATATACACCATGGAATACTATGCAGGCATAAAAAAGGATGAGTTCATGCCCTTTGTAGGGACACGGATGCAGCTGGAAGCCATCATTCTCAGCAAACTATTGCAAGAACAGAAAACCAGACACCACATGTTCTCACTATTAGGTGCGAACTGAACAATGAGAACACTTGGACACAGGAAGGGGAACATCACACACTGGGGGCTGTCAAGGGGTGGGGGGAGCGGGGAGGAGTAGCATTAGGAGATATACCTAATGTAAATGACTAGTTAATGGGTGCAGCACACCAACATGGCACACGTATACATATGTAACAAATCTGCATATTGTGCACATATACCCTAGAACTTAAAGTATAAATAAAAATAAAATAAAATAAAAAAGAGTGCGACCTGCTCAGGGGATGGAGTCCACAGGGTGCACCATAAGAAGTTAGAAGAAACAAGGCTGGAGAGGCAGGAGGGAGACAAGACCGGAAGACTCTGTGCCAAGCTATACCTGGGACTTTATCCTATCCAGCTCATAGTCTGTCAGTGGAGGCAGACATCTAGCCAAAACTCCGAGGTACTGTACTTAGAAAAGCACTACAGACTTGGTGCCAAACATGCACCCCCCACCTCACAACCCCCACCACCCACGGCCAGGGCAAGACTGTGATACACAAACAAGAGAGGAAGCTAATAGAGGATTTTTTTAATCAGTTGAGTGATGGATGGGAGGTGAAAGAGAAGTGGTAGAACCAGATTTGTTCATTAGTAAATCACCAACTGCAATGTGGAAGTCACCCTACTCTGAGGGGGCCAGACCTTCAAGCTCGACATCCTTACAGATGCTACCTGGGCCCTTGTGTGAGTGACGGGTGGGGTCCCCTCTGCCAACTCACCCCAACACAAGACTTCTCCCAGCCGGCCCCTTCTACTTGGCCCCATTTCACCCCACACAGCTCTCTTGGGAGGGCCAGGCACAGGCTGATGACTGAGTCTTCCATAAGGGGGCGCCAAAGGACAGGTCATCAAACCAGAGACTCCACTATGCATCCCTGAAGGTTGGAGAGAAAATCATAGGTAGATACTGAAGCCAACAGTTTTTCCAGTTTGCTGGGTGAGCCTTTATCTACTCAACATAGTGATTTCCCCAGGAAACAAGTGGTTCATCAATACACTTTGTTTCTAAACTAAAAACATGGCTTGAATTTCTCAGCATTGCCAAGCTAGAGCCACAAAAAATTGAATTCTTTGGTTCAGCCATCATTACCCTGGCAATTTATCCCAAAACAATTAATTAAGCAGATGTTAAAAACAATAATCAGGAAAATGTTCACCATAGCAATGTCTATAACCAAGAAACAAAAATAAAAGCAAAACCTTAAAACTATCTAATTAACAAATTTGGTTTACTCATATGGTTCGCCATTGGACAATTGCTGGATAATAGCTTGTTGTTCAGAAGAAACTTCATTTCTGACCTATGGCTGGGGATGGGGGGCAGACTGCACTCCTTTTCTCCCTACCCTCTGTTCACTCTGGGATAAAACAGCCCCCTACACCATGCCAGTACCCAGGTGATGATCCCTTGCACAGCTGCGCTGTAACTGCACTTTTTGCTTGATGTTATGCTGTGAACATCTCACATGCTTAATCAATGCTAGCCTAATTTTTAGCGAGTACATTGCGATCATCTGTTTGCATTTATCAGAATTTGTCTTATGAATCCATTATTGTTAGACATTAAATTACTTTTATTTATACATTTTAATGTCAACTCTTCCTTAATGTTTATCAGAATTTTGCCACGTGTTAGGTGCTAGGTGCCCCTGTGCTAAGTGCTGTGGAGAAAGGGGGTGGAAATGAATTGAATAACTCAAGTCTGTAGGTGGAGACAGACATCTAGCCAAAACTTCAGGGTACTGTACTTAGAAAAGAACTATAAACATGGTGCCAAACATGCATCTCCCATGTCATTACCCAACCACCTATGGCCAGGGCAAGATTGTAATCTTGACAGACACAATCTTCATGTCTTTCCAGTGCGCAGACCAGTCACTGAAAGCAATGTCCTGTGGCATCCAGAAGCCAGTACAGCAAAGGAGTAGTGCTTTCTGGTGAAATTGAGAAAGGAGGTTATCTGAAACTGGCCCTGAAGCACCCCACCCCCGCTCCTGCCACACCTGGGGTTTTAGACACCTCAAGGATTGGAAATACTTCAAGAAGGATAATATTCAATTTCTGACTAAGAGAACAGTGAGGTGGTGGTGAAGAGGATCAAGTAATTACCTTAAAAAGTAAAGAAATGTCATATGGTACTTGACGATGAATCGGGTTATACCGATGGCATATTGAGGGATTTTTGCCAGTTCTCACCAGCGTATACCTATTTTCTTCTCTCCAGACCTTTTTAATCTTTAGGATTAGAGCAACCTGATATCCCAGTCAACAGCCTCAAGAGTATCTGAAATGTATGTTAGATGGGCTGTGCTTGAAGGGGGAGCTGCTAGATGCATTAGAACCCTCACAGAGAATGTGATAAAGAGAAAGAAAGGGTGCATTATTGCTGTTTAGAGAATAAGAGTAGGATTCGAGCATAGGGAGTCCCTAGGCTGCTTCTGTAGGACCCAGAGGCTGCTGGAGAGTGAGAAGATGATTAACAGTATTAAGTTCTTCCTCTTTGCTGAGCACTGCTCCACTACATCCACCCATTCATCTCATCTTCTTAACAATTGCTGAAGAAGCCCAAGGAATGACAATTACAGCAGCATGCTGGGGACACAGCTAGTAATGCAGAGGCACATTT